TTTATTTATTTATTTATTTATTTTTTAAAATAGGCTATTTCTAACGATAAATCTGTTTTGGTCCGTGATTCAAGGCCACTTATTTTTTATGGATAATGAAGTACAATTTACAATTAGTATACTAATTTGTTTGTCAATAAAACAACATTGTCTACTTATATTTACTGTTTTCTACATAATCATATAGAATTTCTTCATCAAATTATATTTCATGAGTATTAATAATACAAAACTTCAGCCTATCCCTGCTACCAGGTAGGTGCTGGAATTAACATTTGTGTACACACGCATTTGCCTAAAAAATGAGCTTCCTGGATAATCAAGTCAAAAATATCACACTACAACCTCTCTTAGATACTTTGTTTACAAACTCCTCAATCCCAGTCTCTTAGCATTGTGGTTCTAAACTGTGGCTTCCCACCAGCAGCATCAACATTAAGTAGGAACTTGACAGAAATGCCAGTCATCTGGGCCCCACTTATTCGCAGCAGAAACACTGGGAGTGGGCCCAGCAATTTGCCTGAACAAGCCTTGTAAGTGATACTGACAGATGCTTAAGTTTGAGAAACAAATCCTATGCAGATTATTGCTCAATCAACTTGAAAATAACAACCAAAAAAGACCATTACTTTTTGAAGAGCCTCCTCTTCCAACCTTCGCTTTTTTTCTAGTTGCTTGTTGAGGTTTTTACTTAATCCACCACTAGAACACTGATGCTCCTCTTCTGCACGGAACATAGAAGATTTCGCTTTTTCATATTCATCTTGACGTTGCATGCATAACAATTTTGCCTTTTTAAGAGCAATCTCTGTTTCAAGCTACAGAGAAAAAGTATTAAACAGATTATGAAAAAAACTACTGTAAAAGTTCCTATAGCCTGTTTATCAAGAGAGTTAAAACAGCATTTTAGAAAAACTCAAGAGTGGGGTAGATGGTTATATACAGCAGATGATTTTATCCTTTCCTCCCCCCCCCTTCTGTTTTCTCTTTATAAAATGTATTTACCTATTAAAAGAGAAAAGAGAGGGAGGTACAGGGAGAGAGCCAGAACCCTGAGCAGGGTCTCCCCATGCTGCAGTTCCCCTCCCCCAGCCCTCCAGCCAGCCAGGATCCTGGGGCATGCACATAGGCATTCC